GGGCGCTACCTGGGCCGAGCTCCGCCGCGCTCCGGCGGCCCCTGCAGGTAGGATCCCGGCGGGGGCTGGGGGTCCCGGGGATCGCGCCCCCCTGCCCGCGCTGCACAGCCATCCCGGGGCTGCGCTTCGTCCTGCCGCCCCGGCCGGGCTGGGATGCCAGCCGTGCGGTGGCAGCTGTGCCTCAGGAGCAGGTCCCACAGCAGCTGGGCCCTGCAAACCCCTGCCCACAGCCCGGTCGGGGTCCCGCAGCAGAGCGCCCAGGGCAAGGGTGATACCCGTGCGTGGAGGCCAGCTGCCAAAGCTGCCACTCAGGCCTGTGCCAGCCTCCCTGGGACAGGGGCCAAGGGGTCTGGGCCCTGTGTGTGAACTCTGGCCGCTTGGCTCGGCTCCTGTTTTCTTCTTGCTGACACCTTGTGACTTTTTATGGCCCTGGGGGAAATGGGAAGGAGCCTGCAGGAAGCTGGCGAGGCCCGGGAAACCTGCCTGAGCGGCGGGCGTGGGAGCTCCTGTCTCTGTGGCCTTCCCTCGGCCACCTTGGGTAAAGGAGTCATAGAAGCCGCGTGTTCCCCTGCCTTGGCCTGTCCTCCGTACAACACCCCCGGCTTATTGCTGCACTCAGGTGAACCCTTCGTTTGTCCCAGATCTGAGAAAGAGGCGTAAAATCCCAACAAAACCGTGTGCTCAGGCAGGACACGGCTCTCTTTAAGCTGGGGTTGTCATGTGGGCGTGGGGATGTTTAGGGTTGTTCCAGACATCGTCCTGGGGGTGGATAGTCAGAGGAGGAAGCAATAGAAGCCAGTCCCGTAGGGTGCTACAGTTTTGGATTGGGACCAAAAGGGGTTTCTGAGAGGAGCTTGTGGCTTGGTGAAGTACGTAGCAGATGAGCGATGGGTTGGCATGGGTAGCTGGATAGGGCACAGAAAAAGAGGGCAAGTGGGACCCAAGATCTAAATGGGGTCATGGAGGTGGCATGACCCAGGCCTTGAAGCTGCATCAGTCCAGGATAAAAACAGACCCTCGTCTGGCTTGGCTCTGCTGGCTGCTTTCCATGTCATTGTAGGTCAGGACTGCTCCCCGGTAGCACATTTCACTAGTTCTAGCAGTCTAGTTACAAGCTTGTTACATTTATGAAAAGGATTGTTAGGTTGTGGTTGCTTGTCATAATAAGGGAGTCTTTCTGATGACCCTGGAGGTCCCTTTCAGGGACCTATGGGTCCTGGGGTTCACTTACTCCATGCAGGGTGACTTTTTTACTCTCTTTGGGAAGCTCTCTCCCAACCAAATAGATTTAATTGAAAGGAGGCAGCTGTTTGTGATGATCAGGCCTTTCCTAACTTGATGCTACTGCTCACAGTCAAACCCTCCTGCACTGTCCTAATATTTTTGCTCCTTCTTGGAACTTGTTCATTTCAAAGATCCAGAGACTAGAGGGGAGGGCACATGGCAAAAAGTTTTCACTGCATGGTGATCTGGAAAACTTTTTAAACTAATGCAATACATTTGCATTCCTGCTACCCTTGTATTATGAAATGTTAAAAAAAATACCATAGTGGAAATTGATTTTGAATTAATGGATATTCATCCCAGAAACTTTATTCAAAGAGTGACAGTCATTCAGTCAGGGAACAGGTCACAAGATAAGTTTCTGTGTGTTGATCAAAACAGCCAGGTAGCCAGTGTCCAACCCATGTGTGTGTCAGCACAGGATACCACAAGCCACTCGCAGAAATTATCAGTGAATATGAGGACCAGGTCACAGAAACTGATAGATAAAAAAAACAAATCTGAAAAAAATTTGGGGCCTGTGTACTGGTAGCTTCTAAACAGAAAAAAGAGGTGAATAATTTTTCTCTGGAGTCCACCCTTTCAGCCTCTTTAGTCTTTTTCATTCTTGTAGTTCTTTACTGAACTCCTCCTTCAAACATGGACCCCAGGGAGGAACTCCGTGATACAGGTACAGTCGTGTCAAAGCTATATAGAGAGAGGCTCCCTATGCCTCAAGGTGAGTTTGCAGCTTATGCAACACCCAATTCCCAAATCTTGAGGCCGGCAGGGATCCCAGTGGTCATTATATCTGACTTCCAGTGTAACATGGGTCATAGAACCACTCTTAGTAACTTCTGTATCATACCCAGAACTTCTGCTTGAGCATTAGGGAAAAATTAGGGAAAAATTTGGCTTTGATTTTTATACATTAGAATTCCCTTGTGTGCCTGACTAAGTTGTTCTCCAGTGGCTAATTACCATGGCTGCTATAAAAGCTGAATTCCTCTCTCTAGTTTCCAAACATTGGGTTTTGTAAGATCTTTTTATGGTGGGTGCCAGATCCCACTTACCCTGAGAATTAGCTAGGCCATTTTTGCTGAAACGTATTGTGTTGTATAACTGTTATCCCTGAACATCCCTAAGATTCGTGATGGCTTTTTAGGCCCTTGGATGCTGAGTATAAGTTAGAACAGATTCAGTGCTGCTCTAAGTGACCAAGGGGCATGGATTCAGGGCATCAGTGTGACATTAATTCACTATGGTCCCTTTGTCTCTGTACAGAGTATACCTTGGTAGGAAGGGACAGTTAGACTTTCCAAGGATTATGAACCCACGGAAGCTAGATTGAGTGTGGGGAAGAGGGTATATTGAAGCTGCCTTGTGGGAGGAGGTCTGTGACTTGGTTGTGGTGTACCCAACACCCACAGAATGGTTAATGAACAGAAGAAAGTTGCTCGGTAACTGTGTTCTGCCTTCTGGATGTGCAACACTTATCCTGCTTCACTGAGAGGCACAGGGTGCTTTCTGTGATAACCTCTCTGAACTGGGCTCCTTGATTTACAGCTCTGCTGCTTGTGCAGTTCAATTAGTCATTCAGTAAAAAATAAAAACACTGTCCCTACCACTTAATTCTTCCTTGGCTCAGAATACCACCTCAACAAATATAGTCTCAGTTACTTCAGGAGACCTATGAGCTTGATTAGTCAGGGAGCAGTGGCTGTGACCCCAGCACTGAAGGATGGTTTGGAGCTCAGTTAGATCATGCAAGGAGGGTTTATGACAGTGCTGGAGAGTGTATAAGAATTGAATGGGATCAAGGATGGAGGGTCTGTGGGAGTGGATCAGAGCCACATGGACCATGGGAGGGCAGTTTTTCTTTTGGCACTGGAAGACATTTAGGACCTTGGTTCAGGAGGAAGTTATTCATAGAGGGTGTTTTAGAGCAGGTAGGGATCAGATGAAGAACATCTGTAGAAGTGCCTGGGGAGTGTATGCGAAATAGGTTGTGTTACGGGAAGGGATGTCTGCAATCAGGCTGTCAGAGGATATGCTGGAGCTGGCTTTGGAGCAGGTGGCCATAAACTAACCCCCTGAAGATGTCCCAGATAGAACTGGCCAGGAAGAAGTGCCTGGTGACCAGGAGCTAGGCCCACAGGGACTAAATGGCCACTTTGGATGTCAATATTCAATATTTAGGGACCACTAAAATCCTCCAAACCCCAGCTCAGCTGCTGCCTAACTACACAGGCTTCTAAAGTCTGCTGGTACTGAAGTTTCTGCCACTGAGCATGCTTCCAGATGCATGGGATCTGGCATGCACTTAACCCCTAATAGGGGCCTCAAACTTGATATGCCCCTGCCTATCCCTCCAGTGCATTTTCAGTCTGTCTGTCAGGTTGGGCCTCACACAAGATATAACCAGAGGAGCAACACTCTTTGTGGGGGTGGGAATTGCCTTCCATTTTAACCCAATATCTTTGTGATTTGAGAGCTCCTCTGGGATGCGAGAGAAGCAGATCCAAGTCTCTGTTTCAATGAATATTCAATTACTTATACTAAGTTGGGAGGTTGGGGGAGAAAGTCTCATTCCAAAGTCTTCCTGGAGGAGAGGCCTGGGTTCAAAATTTTGCTTCAAGTCAGAGCAGGGATTCAAAAGCTGATCTCTGACCTTTAGGCAACTGCCCTACTTGCAGGGTTACAGGGTGCAATGGGGTGGCTGTTTCCCTTTTTGTACGCCATGAGAGAAGACCTCAAGGGTAGAAGAAAATCATTTTGCAAGTAGACTTTCACCAGCAGTGTTCTGTTATGCCTGGATGGTATTAACCGGGGGAGAGATTAACAGCATAGTCACTGCGGGGATGTGCGAGGCCTGATTTGGCTTGGAGAGGGAAGCTGCTCTGTCCTGAGATCTAGGGGATTCTGATCACAACTGGTTCCTGTCAGGGTTGACATTTTTCTAAGTCTCAAGCACAGATAAGGTCACCTGAGCTTTACAGGGTGACCCCACGACATACAACCTGAGTCTGAAGTACAGACAAACATTGTCATCGTGCACAACCTCCACGAGATGGCAGTATGCCCGAGGGCAGCAGCAGCTTCTGTTGCACTTTCCTTTGGTCAACTGAAGCTACTTAATGCAATTTAACTCCTGGCAAGTTAAAATATTTAGATATGCCTTACTAGTGGAGGGGGAAGAACCCCGCTTCTTCAGCGCTGAAGTATTTTAAACATTGGGAACACCACAAAACATTAAGATAGAGCTGTAAAAACACATGGGGAAAAAAGCGAAGAGTCTGGAAATGCACAGTTGTGATTGCTCAAACAGCCTGAATGGTTATGGCAGGTCTGTGCTACAGAGTTTGGCCAGCTGAGCTCTGGCTGTCAGGGGCGCAAAGAGGCATGATCTCTGGCGGAGAGAGTTGTACCAACACAAGCCCCTTGCATAGAGGAGTTATACTGGCAGTACTGCACTTTTGCTGGTCTAAGTAGTTTTAGCTGAGAGGTGAGGCTTTAAGGGTGTTAGTGCAAAGCACAGTTTTGCCAATGTAGCTGTGTCTGCTTTGGGAGCACTTGGCTGGCCTAGTGTATCAGTACAATTGTTCTTGCAAGGCACTCAGTACAAAATGCTTCTCCCCTAGACCTGGCTTCAGGCCTCCATGGAGTTTTACTGCTCTAATAGCACAGAAGCAGGTTTCCCAGGTTACGGTGTGGATGCTCTTATGCTAGAAGAAGCACTCTAACACCCCGCTCTTCCAGGGGGCTTTTATTAGTAAATACCTGAGCGCTTTTTGAAACGAGGTCACTGTTGTTGCTTCTGTTTTGCAGATCGAAACACCAAGACACAGAGAGAGGAAGTGACTTGTATAAGGCCACCTGGCAGGTGTGTGGCAGAGCTGGGAATATACCCCTCTTCTCCTGAGTCCCAGTCCATTTGCACTAGTATGAAAATGCTTATCCTGGTGCAGCTTATTACTGAACATGAAAAGGAATAGCTGAACTGGTGTAAGCCATCTTTACTTTGGCACAACTGGCTGTGTTAGCATTTGTAACTGCTTTTGCAGAAAAATCATGGCTGGGGCTTGAACATTTATACCTCTATAGTTTACAAGCTGAGACCAGGCCTCCTAGCTTCAGGCAGTGCTTAGAGAAAATTAAACAAGCAGAGATCATAATAATTTAAAAAACAAAAAGTCCCAAGCATAATGTATGCACATGCATGTATAGCCACGTATATATATGCAAGTGTGTATATATGTTGTTGAGATGATATTAACGCTATATATATATACAGAAATTTCTTCTGTTGTATGATGTGTGTCCTGACTGCTTTGTGCCCTGTTTATATGGTAAGGTCTTCAGAACAAGGGTAGTCTTTCACTGTGTTTCTACAGTGTGTCGTGTATCAATCTTGATGGGGTCATCAAGGACTACTGGTATATAAATAATAATCATCATGATTGTTAGTGGCATATAACAACAACAACAACAATAATAATAATAGTTGTTATATGCCTCACCCATTGCCACTGTGTTGTCCCCAGTGCCCTCCAACACACACACATCCCCTGTAAGACACTTTTGAATTCACCTTAAGGAGTCCAGTCTTGAGAGCTAGGGTGGGGGAGGAAAGGGTATAAACTTTCAGACAGGTTACTTTTTTTGTTTTCCCTCCCCTCAGATATGTTTGGGTGAGAGGTGTGGCAGCATCAAGATTCAGCGAAGGGCTGTTAGGGGTACTGGAGAGGAAATTAAAAAATATGTTAAGAGAATGGGTACGGAGTGGAGACCGCCCCATTGAGAAGTTACAGTTATGTTTGTAACCCTAGTAAAGCTGTACATCTTAAAGCAGCTTACAAAAAGGAGACAGGCAGTGGATGAGTGGCTCAGAGGAAAGGACCCCTTTACCCAGCTCCCAGTTGTGAGGTCTGGAAGGCTTTCCTCAAGACACAGGTGATGCAGAGACATACATCACCATATGACGAGGTATCAGAGAAGCCCGAACTACCAAGTGCTCTGCCTGGTAGTTAAGGTCAGCATTGCTGTCAACATCCTTGCCTTTGGGTACTTTTGAGGCCTCTTGACATCATCCTTTTTGTTCCCTCTGTGTTGTCTAGAGCAGGAGTTCCCAAAGTTTTTATGCCACGGCCTGGCAAACCACAGCCCAGCAGTCACAGCCGACCGTAGCCGGAATTTTGGGCTGGAAGACAAGTAAGAATAACCCCCACCTCCCCAGGCGGGGTGGGGGGCAAACCCTGTGCTGCCACGGGCCCTGTGGAAGGAGCTGTGGCCTCTCCACCTGGCTCTGGGGGCCAGTGGTTTGCCGGTCCATGGCCACATCCGGTCTGGCAGCTGACTGTGTTGCGGACCGGCAGCTGACCTGCCATGGCCCATGGATTGAGAACCCCTTGTCTAGATAGAGGATTTCACTTATGAAGATTAGACATACTTGGAGACTCCCCTTTGCGCCACCATCCCCTCCCCTCTCTGCACTTGCTTGCTTCCATTTCTCTCCTTCTTTCTGGTCACTGGGAAGGAGGGCAATCCCTCTGGACATGCTGGAGCAATGAAATTGGCTTATCTAGGAACAGCAAGGCCAGACAAGCCAATTACTTCATCATGGTGTGTATTGTACTCAGTCACAAGGGCAGGTTAGGGCCATAAAAAGCAGCCTGAGACTGATTACAAGGAGAAAAACATGACCATTGAATTGTCTGGTGGATGTTTTCAAAGCTGAGGAAACGTAGTTCTGTTTTCATCTACCTGTAAAGCTTCATGTACCTCAGTGGTGCTGCTATCATCTTGATCATCAATATCAAGGCATGAAGATCAGTAGTGAGAAGCAATAGAGTTACTGTTTGTTTGCCACGGTCACAGCAAAATGGAACAGTGCTTTGCATGATGATGGTGGACCAGGGATACAGCAACACTTGGCCTTTGTTAGATGCTTGTCATGCTCAGCACAACTAACAAATAAAGAAGCAAAATATATTTGTAAGAATAGAGGGTGATGCAGGGGAAGAATTCTCAGTCCCTCGATAAATTAAATTGAAGTGTTCTCCAATAGATTGATTTGTGACAGGGGAACCAAATGAATGAATAAAAAGCAAATTCAAAATGAGATTCAGGAGCTGAGGGCAGAATCACCAGGGCAATTCACTACAGAAAAAGATTAACGGACCCTGATGGGCTAAAATCAAAAGCCAAGCTTCTCGTGCTCAAATGTACCAAATTGTGGCAAGGAGGGTATTTTCACATCTGCACACTGCCATAGAGGGGAGGGATGTTACTGAGGTAGGAGTAATCTTACAGATGGTGACAGAGCCTAAGCCTAGGACATAAGCTAAGCATAGTCTTCAGCCAAGAGTGTCATAGGATCTTGAGGCTGGAAAGGTCCTCAAGGGCCCTCTGGTACAGCAGCCCCCTGTATATGTGCAGAATGCAGTGTTGCTAAACTACTGGAGACTGATGCCCATCCAGCTTCTTTGTTAAGGAAGAAGCTTTCACAGCTTGCTTGTGCAATTTGAAAATGGATACCTACAGTTAAGATTCACAGTCCCTGGACAGGCCCCCAAATGACTCCAGGATGAACATGAGTCGGCAATGTGGGGAGGCGGCTAGGAAGGCCAACTGCACCTTGTCGTGCATCCACAGATGCATCTCGAGCAGGTCCAAGGAGGTGATCCTCCCCCTCTATGCGGCACTGGTCAGGCCGCAGCTGGAGTACTGCATCCAGTTCTGGGCGCCGCACTTTAAGAGGGATGTGGACAGCATCGAGAGGGTCCAGAGGAGGGCCACTCGTATGATCAAGGGACAGCAGGGTAGGTCCTATGAGGAAAGGTTGCGGGACCTGAACCTGTTCAGCCTTCAAAAGAGAAGGCTGAGGGGGGATCTTGTGGCCTGTTATAAACTGGTTGGGGGGGATCAGCAGGCGCTGGGGGAGTCCCTGTTCCCCCGAGCGCCGCAAGGAGTGACCAGGAACAATGGTCACAAGCTGGCGGAGGGAAGGTTTAAGTTGGACATCAGGAGGCGCTACTTCACGGTCAGGGCGGCTAGAGTCTGGAACCAGCTTCTAAGTGAGGTGGTGCAGGCTCCCACCCTGGGGGTTTTTAAGAGGAGGTTGGATGACCACCTTACTGGGGTCGTTTGACCCCAGTGCTCTTCCTGCCATGGCAGGGGGTCGGACTAGATGATCTGCTCAGGTCCCTTCCGACCCTAGAAACTATGAAATGGAATGGCAGTGTTGCTAATGCTTGTGATTTTATCACAAATACTGCAATAGCTGGTGTTCTTCCTAAAGCCCAAGGTGACTATGTAAGAATCTCAGCTTTGTTTTAGAAAGGGGGAGAAGAGTAAATTTCTAGCCTTCTTATTTCCAGAGAACAAGCTTGACAATGGAACCTAAGTTTAAAACCTTAAGGCAAACCTTAACAGGTTTTTAAAATCTCATGATTCTGGGTGGCCCAAGTTATAATTTCTAAAACCTTGAGGAGGCAATAGTGCAACTATTGTTGAAAGTCACTTATTTGGGGCCCTCAATATGGACTTGTTTCAGGTGCCCATTTTGATAAATCTTGCCTTTTGATTGTAGTTGTTCAAAGTAAATAACTTGTGTACAAAAGAGGTAGCAAAAGAAAACTATTAAGGCATTCAATAACCTGGAACACTATAAGGCCTCCATCAGTAATTCTCAACCAGCGTGCTATGGCATCCTGGAGTGCTACGCTGTTAAGGGTCCTGTGCAATATTAGTACCGTTAGGTGTACAGACACCTACTCCCAGTTTGCAAGATAAACTCAGAGATTTCAAATAGGAATCTGTAGTGACAAAAACATTGTGACCTGTTGTGGTCTTTCTGAGATCTTTTCAAGAGAAGAATTGCTCCAGTACTTTTCCATTTTCAAAACATGAGTGAAAGCTAAGAACTGGCATTTTCCAAGGGATGTTTTGAGGCCAAAAAAGTTGAAACCAACTGGCTTAAACTGTCCTATGTCATAGTGATGCCTGCCAAAGTTTTGCTACCAAAATGCACCCACCAGGTCAAATCTGATGAGCTCTGATAAAACAGTCAACTAATATTAGCATTTTGTTTAAATGCAGGTTTATTCTTCAAGTGCTGACACCAAATGACAGGATTAGTGATAAAATCACTGTAACACAATAAAATATGGTACATGTGGATGAAGACCCAACAAGACTGGACTAAAATCATCAAAGCCAACAAGTATGACCTTCTGTGAAGAGCCTGCCTACTTTTTAATTCAGCATATATGCAGCACCAGACATTGACACAGCAAACACAGGCAACGCACTCCCGAACTTGAAGAGCTCAGGATCCAATCAAGTCAAGACAGATGCAGATAATAGGACCTAAGAGAAGAGCTCAGGAGGGTGGGTGAAGGAATCTTGGATGGAGAAAGGATTGTTACAGGTGTAATAATGCTCATCATTTGTATAGCACTTTCAAACTGCTGCCTGGACATTTACTAATTGCCTTCACTGCAATAATCTCTGTGAAGCAGGTGAGTAAATATTATTTTCCTCATTTTACAGATGTCTCTGAGACAGAAAGGCAAAGGGAGGGGAGGGGAATGGGCTCATCTCCCACAGATCACAGGGCTTCAAGAATATCTCTGATCATAGCACTTGCTATTTAGCCACTCAGTGCAAACCCCAACAGTGGACAGGTACAGGTGGACTTTACCCCAGTGAGGTAGACCCCTGATTGGAACATAAGTGAGTTGCAGCCATGCAAATCCCAGCTTATAACTATTTACCATAGGGGCTTGGCTAGGGAGATAATCACACAGCTAGGGAGAGCACACACAGCTTAAGCCTGTTGGGGCTGGTGGCAGGGTGCTTGCAGTGAAAGGCTCTAGAACCTGGGGTTCATTTCTCCCATTAGCTCAATAGAAGCTGTTCTGGCCTCTGTGGCTGTCTGTGGTGCCCATCAGTTTCTTTGCTTCTAGTAGATGCAGTTGGGTATGGTATTCACTCCAACAAGTCTGACAATCAGCTCTGGGGCATCTCATGATGGACCCCTTACAATCCACAGTCACATCTGGAAATCGCACATGCCGTGTGCAGTGGTAGCACGGTTAAAGTGGGCAACTGGAAGTCAAAGCTCCTGGATGCAGCTCTCGGACACTGCTTGGCTGTGCAGCATGTGGCAAAGCATGAGCAGAAGTATTTCCAAGGGAGTCCAGTTGGGTGGTCTGCAGAGGCTTGGCCATCCAGCTGTTCATGCTCAGGGGCAAAGGGGATTTTCAAAGGAAAAGACAGGAAGAGCAAGACCTGCTCATCACTCAGCCCTTGAAGAATGTTAGAAGTGGGTTGGGGAGCACCAGTTATTTCTGAGATGACTTGCTGATTCGCATTGCAAAACCCTGGTGTCAACTGCTTATACATTTACAAGCTGTAACAAGAGCGATCAGCATCTGAAATGTTATCATAAGACATGAGCACAAGGTGAGCAAATTTCAGGCTGTATGGAGAACTCCAGTGCTGGCATTTGCCTCACTTCTGAGCACCTAGCTTTTCAGCCTTAATAATAATCTTTGGATCTTGCAATTTGGTGTATAACTGAAGGTAGAGGAGGAAAGAACAGAGCAGTGAAGCTGGTTGCTGAAAATTATCATGAAGCGGGATAGACACAAGGAAGAAGACTGAGCTATAATCCTCATTTGTGTCCAAGCTGAATGGGTTTTTGTAGGCTGGGGGCTCTGTGACTGCCCTGAAAGAGTTAGTCAAGCTGGAGAGGGCTGTTACGGGAAGGCATTTATACTCCTCTGTCCTATGAAGTGGTTTGAAAATTGAACCTTTGTCTGGGCTCCTCTGCTTGGCAAGTGATCTATTGCATGGATTAGCTGAAATACGTGCTCCTAGCCTATATTATTCTTATCTGTATGGCTTGTGCCATGCAGGCGGTCAGAATGGATGATCTCAATGGCCTTGTTGCTCCTTGCCACCTGTGAATTGGTAGGCTGGGCTGTGTGTTCTCATAGCTTACAGGCTGTGTCCGCATGCAAGGTTTGGCAGCAGCATTACCACACGTGTGCCTTTCTTATCTTCTGGTGTTCTTGGCTGTAGCAAAGATGAAATTTCCTCAAGCTGGAAGAATGTGGTTTTTGCCATTCACAACAAAGCCAGCAAAGCAATTCTGTTCACATCCATTCACGGCATGGGTGCGATATGATCTGCCAGTGCCTGCCTGTTTCATAATGACAGCGTGTTTCCATTGAATGTTGCTCTGTCTTGTGCATGTTTGAAGCCACAAGTGGTTTAGTGGCTTTGTCATAGCAAGGTTTGTGTCATTGGTCCTCTACCAATTTTATTTTTGGCTTAGATCTCATGCTGCAAGCATTGGCTCCACAGAGGGTGATAGTGAGCAAAGGGAGCCAGCTGTGGGCAGTTAGGCAGTTTCTGTGTTCAGGTAACAAAGCATCCAGAGATTGGAGGACTCTTGCTATTTTTTTGTAGCATTGCTTTTTTTTTTCAGTGTCTCAGCAGGACTGTTGTCTCTTTCTTCTCCTGTCTGCTATGAGGGAGCAGCTTCATTCATTTTATTTTCTGCATCCTGTCGTACTCACAACCAGGCTCCCCTCCTCCTGTGGATGGTAAGGAACTCATATCCTGTCAAGAGGTGGAGCCCTTCTTCACTGTCCCTCTCCAAGGGGAAGATCCTATCTCTCCTCTTCCTCATCATTCCCTAACAGCAGAAGGGAGAGACTCTCCTCCATTTCTTCTTCCTCACCGATAGCCGCCTTCTTTGCTTTTTCCTGTTTCCCCTCAGCTGTTGTGAGGATATGACTCCTCTTTCTTTTTCCCTCCTCCCCCAGCTAAGCAGAGTGGCTCTTTCCATCCCTTTCCTTCCTCTTCTGCATACTCTGATCGTTTTCCTCCAGGTCAGTCTTCCTCTCTCTGCAGTCACCTCTGGTGCTCTCAGCTTTCCCACACCAAAGTAAAACGTACCAGATTCAGTTCTGTGTGGCTGTCTGCTGTGGTCTGAGCACAGTGAAGCAGTCCAGAGCCTGCGAAGTCTCATTGAGGAATGTGATGGGCTGCAGGAGCTGTGTTCCAGAGACGCTCAGTGAGCATAAGGAGGGATGTGATTCTGCAGTTTCATCACTGCTCAGACTGCTGCAAGCAGCGGCAGGGGAAATGAATCAAGCCTGGTAGCCTTCGCTCTGCCGATGCCTGCACTCACCAAGGAAAAGCTCCAATTCATCGCTGGAGAATTCCTTTTGCAAGCCCTGCGTGTGCTGATGTTGGACCGTGGCTGCCCCTCTGCTGAGTCCTTCATCTTTCCTCAGGCCTGTGTTGAAATCTCATTGTATGAAGACTGTGTCAGAAGGCAGGTAAAGGAAACTCTCTGCTTTCAGCTATAGCATTAGTCACCATGACTGTTAATTGCCCAATTCTGTGATTTCCTGCCAGCGCCCTGAAGTGGTGAGCCCTGGTGACCTTAGGTTTGTAGCCCTATTCTCCACTCCTCTTGTTTCCCCTTTTGGCCTAAGAAGGTGGAGGAAACAGATTTTTTTTAGATATCCGGTTAGCCTCCTCCTGGTATAAATCACAGCAACTTTAAGGCTGTTCTAGTTTATGCTCTGGCTACAAGGTACTTTGTGGGCTTATCAGACTATCCCCAGCACACACCTATGCTTGGGGACACAAAAGAAAGAGGTAGAGCCATCCCGATGGGTCCATCCTGTCCAGGAGAATCCATTTACCTAGATGTGGTCTCTGGCCTAGTTTGTGGTGTGCTTACAGTACTTGGATGGGATAAAGAGGCTACAAACCAATCAAGAATTGAATTGTACATCTTTAAAGGGTGGCATAGAATAATTCAGCCTTTATAATCACTCAACTAAACTCTCAAGAGACCCATACAGACTTACCCTTTTAGGCCTCCTCGGGGTTAAGCCACTTGTAGGATTATGCCCTTTCAGGGGGGATGCCAGAGTTGACTGTGGGATTGGGTCCCCTCCTACGGAGACTGTGAAAGGTATGTAGCATGGTATCCCCCTGGCACACAGCTGGCAGAGCTGATGGTGATGTTGAGCAATGGTATCTCGTTGTGCATAGCTCAGTTCCTTTTGAAATGTTAGCAGGTTTGAAGTCTAAGCTGTATACTTTACAATGGACTGACAAGTCACTTCATGCTTAGAACATGAGCTGATTTAGATGACCATAACTAGCAGGGCAAAAATGACCATTATGTAAAAATTCAGGTTCCCCCCAGCACTGTTTTTCTGCCCACTTTCTAGTAGGAAGTTGCTGCTTCATTTAAACTGTTTGCCATCATCACTAGCGAGGTTTTTGTACTAGGACTTGAGACATTCGTGTGCTGAACTTATGCTACTTAGATTAAAATTTGGTGCACATGAATGCCGTGTGCCCCCGGGGAGTGTGGGGGGTGGTTCGTGAGTGCAGACTGGCAGTCAACGACCACCCACAAATGCCGCTGGCAGTGTTGGCAGCAAAGGGGGTGGTGGCAAGCAGCAACTGCCTGCAGGCACAGCTGGCAGTGTGAGCAATGCCTTTTTTGCAGGGAGTGCACTGCCATGCTCAGGGTGCATGTGCACCCCCTACACGTCACCAATGGTGTTGGAGCCTAACAATAACTGGGCATGTCTACACGTTGCTGTGCTTTAGTACTTTCAAAAGGAAGTACTTTTAGAAGTACTAAAGCATGGAACAGTACAGGCTGTTACTGCACTGTGCGTGCACACAGGTTAAATTTCCTGGCTATGTCACCATAGTGGCGCACTATACTGGGGGAGCATGCCACTACGGCGACATAGCTGACTATCATGTGTAGACCCGTGTGATTGCCACTTCACTGTAGTGTGCTGTACTTCAATGAGTTTCGTCACCATAGGGCGAAGTGTAGACTCGCTTATTAAGCCCCTGCTTCATCCATTAAAGGGAAGAGCAGTTGAGGGTGCCTCAGCATCTTTGCAGGACGGGGCCATAAGCATGCAGACCTCAGAAAATATCCACAAATAACAGAACAAGGAGCAATGGTCTCAAGTTGCAACAAGGGAAGTTTAAGTTACATATTAGAAAAAACTTTCTCACTAGGAGAAGCAGTAGAACAGGTTACCCAGAGAGGTTGTGAAATCTCTATCCTTGGAGGTTTTTAAGACCTGGCTAGACAAAGCCTTGGCTGGGATGGGGATGGGGATGGTCCTGCTTTGAGCAGTGGTTTGGACTAGATGCCCTCCTGCAGTCCCTTCCAACCCTCATTTTCTATGATTCTATGAAATACTTAGCTTTGCCAGATGGAGCTGATGATAGAATGTCATTAGCACTACGGGGATCACAGAATTGTCCTTCTGCTTCCTATTTGTTACCAATAGGACAGGAGCAGGCAATTATTTCGGGTGGAGGGCCGCTTACTGAGTTTTGGCAAGCCATCAAGGGCCGCATGACAGGCAGCCGGGGGCAGATAAATATTAATTTTCTAAAATTTTTAGGGGCCCCGTAGGCTGGATAGAATGGCATTTTTCCCACCTCTGCAATAGGAGCAGCATACACTCTGGGCCAGGTGTAAATGCTTTGCAGAGTTACTCCTTGTATTTGGTGCAGTCAGTCTCAACAGTTTAAAACAACAAAATTCAGCTCCCCTCCCCCCCATCATGAAAACTTTAACTTATAGAATTTTAAGAAGTTAATTTCATTTGCCATCAGTGTTCATGTTTTGGAGCTTTTCTCCACACCAATCGGGACTAGAAGCTTGCTTTTCTTGTTAAACAAAAGCTGACTCCTGTAATCACATGAGTCCAGGAAGTGACTCTTTAAGGAAAACAGAAAACATTGTGAAACACTTCATAGAATCATGACAGTTGCCCATGCTGGCCTTATGTTTCAAACGTCAACAATTTTTCTTGCATTTCTGTATCAGGGTCCTTCTGTTGAGCACCCACTTAATTCCTGAGGCTTTGAGTATGGGAAGTTGTTTCTCTTTTGGGTGGTAGGGGGTGGGGCTTTCCTTTGTGTTCCTTTTTGCTTGCTTGCTTGCTGCTATTCACATGTGTCTTTTTTTTAAGCAACAAATCCATCTTTCTTTCCAGAAACAAATTTATTCCTCATCATGCTTCTGTTTGTTTATTAGATTTCTGTGTAGCCAGCCTGTTTTCCAGGAAGATTGTCCCTTCCCTGAAAAATACCTCTCTAAGCTGGCTTGGGGAAGGATTGTATCAGAAATTACATTAACTATATTGGTACATAGCTGTGTCTGAACAAATAACGCCTTGTCAGTACAGAATAAGAGGATTCCTAGACCACTATGGGGTTTTTAGTGCCTGCGCTGCATAGTATGGTGTCAGCTCCACTGACAGTGGGGACAATTCAGCTATAGAGGGGAAAGGAACCTAACTGATATCAAGATGGAGCCTGACTGGTTTATTAAAGGGACTCTCTGATGCTATTGGGAGTGGATGTGGTGACCCAAGAAATCCTTTCTAGCTCTTTGTTCCAGCACTGCAAATGCAGAGAAAGACATAGCAAATATAGCCCTTTTTTAGCCAGCCATGAGCTGAGATTAGCTTTGGTTGTTTGTGCTTATCTGCAGTGGTGCCTTAACTGTGCTCAGTGTTGCTACAGCTGAAGAGATGACATCTGTGTATAGGAGTGGTTTGGTTGCAAAGTCCACTTAAGACGAAACTTTACTGAGTTTCTGAGAATCTTTTTCACGTTTCCATGGAAGGTTGTCACTGTTGCAATGGGTTTGCTTAAAGCAAGCCCAGGTTTTGTGTTTATGGAAGTAGAACAGAACCTGGCTATTATATAGTCTGCTAATCTGAGCCCAGAAATAAGTCAGGTGGGACCCTAGCTCTTGGTCTGGCCCTTGTGGCTAGAGACAGAAATTATACATAAATTGATATAAGTGATTGGAAACCAGTTCAAATCTGTAACGCAACAGAAGTTCAGTGCACATAAACCACTTTAAAAATGGCTGAAACCAGTTTAAGACAAACTTGGATGGATGTAGTATCATACTTAACTGATTTAGGTTAAATCAATTTATTGAACTTCTGTCCTAGATCTCCTGTAGATTCAAGTTAATTCACAGTCCTCCAGCATCCCAGGATGCTTTGCTCCTTCCCTGAAAGTTTCCCTATCACAGGGTGGGTGGGCTAGCCTTGGCCCAAGCTGTCTGCTTCAGCTGAGCAGGGAGCTGTGCTCTAACTCTGTTCGTGTCTGGCCTGGGCCACTGCAGGCATGTGGCTGCATTTCTGGAATCAAAAGTGAATGTCTGTTCACTTGCTTATTTGTTCAGTTTATGCAGCGTAGACTAACCGGCACAGATTGAATCCATTTAGCCATGGGCTTTTATGACTGTCTGTACTGAGCTTGTCTGGCATGGTAGAAGGTCTGTGCAAGCAGTGCTGGCTGACAAAGAACTCACCCAGTGCTAACTTTGTGTCTCACCTTCATAAGGGGCTCTATACTGATCTCCTTGCAAATTCCAGTTCAGAGGCTGCCTGCCTTGAGACAAGGGATGAGGCTGAAGATCATCAGGAACACAAATGGGTGCAGGAAACTGTGGTCTATGGAGCAGCTTATTGGCAGCCCTGGGGTGGAAGGACCATTATAAATTAACATAGCTCTGGCATCGGTACCCAAAATGACCTGGAATAAAAGGACACAGAGGTGACTTAATGCCCCACCTGTCCTTGCTTTCACTGAACTGTCTTATCTCAGCTGTGCCTCTAGAAAGTGCAACATACTATCCTAGTTGTGATTTGTACCCACTGTTCAGCAAAGAGTCATTAGGAGATGCTGTGGTGAAGTCTCATGGGTCCCTGGCAAGCATTCATTTCATGGCACGGTGGAATTTGATCCCTGAGCCCGACAGTTGTGCCTCCTGTCTTGCCACGTGTGCATGGCAGGAAGCATGATTGTGGAATCAGGGATCACATCCTAATTGTGCCATCACTATTTGCCAGTGCAGGGAGAGCTGACCCCCAAGATCCTATCAGGAACTTGAACAGGCTCTGATGCCATCTGGAGCCAGGCTAACGATCAGCTGATTGTTGGCCAGGCTGGGCCTGTGGGCACTTTTACAACTTGCCTGTGCAGAGCACCCCAGCTGATGGTCTGCTTGACCACAGATGGCACCAGAGCCAGTTTGAGTCCCCAGTGTGGTTTAGGGGCTGCAGAAGAGCTCCTGGTCTGGCTTAAGACCAGGGTTATCTTAGCTGGGTCTACAATTAACCAACTGTTAAAACCCCACGATCTGCAGCTCTGGCCAGGCCTGGGCACAGGGAATCAGAGGCTTCCAGTGGAAGAGGTAGCCAAAGGGTTTCCCCCACTGGGGACTTTAAACCCCACTTGGAGATCTCTTGCACTG